TTCAGCCAAAGATTACACAGGTCTATAAAACAAACAATAACACAAATGAGGAAAGTGCTTCTCAGTCCATCATGTAAATGAGACCAAATGGGCAACTCCTGCCCAAAAGCAAGGATGAGAAGGAAAGAAGCGATAGGAAAATGGGACGTATGGAAACAGGGAACTTGGAGGAGAAAAGGGGAGAATGTTGTCACATTGCCATCAATGTAACAAAACAATTTGTGTATAAATTGTTTAATGAGAAACTAATTTGTTTCGTAAACTTTCACCTAAAGCACAATAATAAACAAAAAGAACTCTATCAACATAATGTAAGATATAAACAAACTACTGCAGGAAAAACAGTGTGATAATATGGTGCCTTTAAGAGGGCTGACTTAGTGTTAAATGAGGTGATTTGCAGAAGTTTTCATAAGGCATTTATGAGTGGAAAGAAAGATATAAAAACTGTGTATAATATGATTCCATTTTATAAAACAATGACCAATGAATACAGATATATGTACATATTTGCGTGTGTGTGTGTGTGTCTACAAGCAGGGATATAGATATGTAATTTTGGATTATATACTGAGTTGTTAACATCCAGTAGTTGGAGAAAGGGAAAAGGAGCAAATATGGATGGAAGAGGGGTAAGATACATAAGAGAGAACTGAACAAAAAAGAAGTTTTTAGAAAGACTGCACTAGAAATTTACAAGCTGATCCTAAAATCCATATGGAAAGATAATCTTCAAAAATCAAAAAATAAAAATAATCTTGAAAAAGAAGAATAAAGTTGGAAGACTCACACTTCGATATTTCAAACTTAATACAAAGCCACAGATATCAAGACAGTGTGGTACTGTCATGAGGGTAGACATATAGATGAATGGGATAGAATTGAAAGTCTAGAAATAAACTCACTCACCTGTGCTCAATTAATTTTTGACAAGGGTACCAAGAGCATTAAATGGGAAAAGAATAACCTTTTTAACAACTGGTGCTTGGACAACTGAATATCTGCATGTAAAAGAATGAAGTTGGAGCCCTACCTCATACCATATATAAAAATTAACTCAAAATGGATCACTAACCTATATATAATAGCTAAAACTATAAAATTCTCAGGAGAAAACATAGGGGTAAATTTTCATGACATTGGATTTGGCAAACGATTCTTGGATATGACACCAACAACACAAGCAACCAAAGAAAAAAAATAAATTGGACTTCATAAAAATTAAAAATGTTTGTGCTTCAAAGGATACCATCAAGAAAGTGAAAGGACAACACAAAGAATGGGAGAAAATATTTGCAAATCTTATATTTGGCGAGGGACTTGTATTTAGAATATTTAAAGAACTCTTACAACTTAATAATAAAGAGATAAGTAACCCAACTGAAAAATAGACAAAGGATTTGAACAGGCATTTCTTCAAAGCAGGTATACAAATGGTCAATAAGCACATACAAAGATGTTCAACATCACTAATTATCAGAGAAATGCAAATAAAATCCACAGTGAGGTATCACTTCACACTCACGAGTGGCTAGTATCAACAAGTCGGATAACAAGTGTTGGCAAGCAAGTGGAGAAACTGAAACCCTCATACACTGCTGATGCGAATGTAAAATGGTCCAGTCGCTTTGGAAACAATAGTTCCTCAAATGGTTAAACAGAGTTACCATATGACCCAGCAATTCCATTGCTAGGTATAAAGTCAAGAATAATGAAAACATATGTACACACAAAAGAAACTTGTAATGATTGCCTATAGCAGCATTATACATAATAGCAAAAAGGTAGAAACAACCTAAATTCCCATCAATGGACAATTGGATAAATAAAATGTGGTATATCCATACAATGGGATATTATTCAGCCATAAAAAGAATGAAGTACTGATACAAGATACTGTATGGATGAACCTTAAGAATATTATGCAAAGTGAAAGAAGCCAGGGATCACATTTTATACGATTTTATTTGTACAAAATGTCCAGAATAGACACATCTTTGGAGACAGAACAGATTATTGATTAACTACACTGGGTGTTTAAAAAAAATTTTATTGTACTTTAGATGAAGTTTACAGAACAAACTAGTTTGTCATTAAACAGTTAGTACACATATTGTTTTATGACATTGGTTAACAACTCCACGACATGTCAACACTCTCCCTTAAACAGTTAGTATACATATTGTTTTGTGACATTGGTTAACAACCCCATGATATGTCAATACTCTCCCTTCTCAACCTTGGGTTCCCTATTACCAGCTTTCCTGTTCCCTCCAGCCTTCTAGTCCTTGTCCCTGGTCTATTGTGCCCCTTTAGTCTCGTTTTGTTTTATGGGCCTGTCTAATCTTTGGCTGAAGCGTGAACCTCGGGAGTGACATTATTACTGACCTAAAAGGGTGTCCGGGGGCCATAGGGCCATACTCTCGGGGTTTCTCCAGTCTCTGTCAGGCCAGTAAGTCTGGTCTTTTTTTGTGAGTTACAATTTTTTTCTACATTTTTCTCCAGCTCTGTCCAGGACCTTCTATTGTGACCCCTGTCAGAGCAGTCAGTGGTGGTAGCCAGGCACCATCTAGTTGTACTGGACTCAAGTCTGGTGGAGGCCGTGGTAGTTGTGGTCCTTTAGTCCTTTGGACTAGTCTTTCCCTTGTATCTTGTTTCCTTCGTTCTCCCTTGCTCCTGAAGCGGTGAGACCAGGGGAGTATCTTAGATGGCTGCTCACAGACTTTTAAGACCCCGGACACTACTCACCAAGGCAGAATGTAGAACATTGTCTTTATAAACTGTGTTATGTCAATTGAGCTAGATATTCCCCGAGACCATGGTCCCCACAGCCCTCTGCCCAGCAATTCAGTCCCTAAAGGAGTTTGGATGCGTCTATGGAGCTTCCAAGACCTTGCCCTGTACAAGTTGTGCTGGCTTCCCCAGTATTGTGTACTGTCTTCCCCTTCACCAAAGTTACCACTTATATATTGTCTATTTAGCGTTCCCTGCCTCCCCTCCCTTGTAACCACCAAAGATTGTTTCTTTTTGTGTGCAAGGCTTTTCATGAGTTTTTACAGTAGTGGTCTCATACAATATTTGTTCTTTTGTGATTGACTTATTTCACTCAGCATAATGCCCTCCAGATTCATTCATGTTATGAGGTGCTTCACAGATTCATCACTGTTTTTATCGTTGCATAATACTCCATTGTGCGTATGTACCATAGTTTGTTTATTCATCTGTTGATGGGCATCTAGGTCATTTCCATCTTTTTGTATTGTGAACAATGCTGCATTGAACATGGGTGTGCATATGTCTATTCATGTGATGGCTCTTATTTCTCTAGGATTTATTCCTAGGAGTGGGATTGCTGGATCATATGGTATTTCTATTTCTAGTTTTCTAAGGAAGTGCCATATCATTTTCCAAAATGGTTGTATCATTTTGCATTCCCACCAGCAGTGCATAAGAGTTCCAATCTCCCCACAGTCTCTCCAACATTTGTTATTTGCAGTTTTTAAAAATTTGTGCCAGTAATTCTGGGGTGAGATGGTGTCTCATTGTGGTTTTGATTTGCATTTCTCTAATGGCTAGTGATCATGAGCATTTCCTTATGTGTCTGTTGGCTGTTTGAATGTCTTCTTTGGTGAAGTGTCTGTTCATTTCCCTTGCCCATTTTTTTTTTTTTTAAATTGTACTTCAGGTGAAGGTTTACAGAACAAATAGTTTCTCATTAAACAGTAGTACACATATTGTTTTATGATATTGGTTAACAACCCCACGACAAGTCAACCCTCTCCTTTCTCAACCTTTGCCATTTTTTAATTGGATTATTTGTCTTTTTGTTGTAGAGGTGTTGGATTTTCTTGTAGATTTTAGAGATTAGACCTTTGATTTGTACTGGACAAAATTTTTTTCTCTGTCTGTGGGTTCTGTTTTTACTCTTTTGGTGAAGTCTTTTGATGAGCCTAAGTGTTTAATTTTTAGAAGATCCCAGTTATCTAGCTTATCTTCTGTTGTTAGTTATGGTTTGTATCCTGCTAATGCCATGTATTAGGGTCTCTAGTGTTGATCCTATTTTTTCTTCTATGAACTTTATATTTTTTGGCTTTATATTTAGGTCTTTGATCCATTTTGAATTAGTTTTTGGATATGGTGTGAGGTATGTGTCCTGTTTCATTTTCTTGCAGATGGACATCCAGTTTTGCCAGCACCATTTGATGGACTTTGGGCCCTTGTCAAAGATCAGGTGACCGTAGGTGGATAGATTTACATCTGGGTTCTCAGTTCTGTTCCATTGGTCAATGTATCTGTCATTGTACCAGTACCAGGCTGTTTTGACTACAGTAGCTATATAGTAGGTTCTGAGGTCAGGTAGTGCAAATCCTCCTACTTTATTCTTCTTCTTCAGTAGTGCTTTACTTATCTGGTGCTTCTTTCCTTTCCATATAAAGTTAATGATTAGTTTTTCCATCTCTTTAAAGAATGCTGTTAGTATTTGCATCATGATTGCATTGTATTTTTAAATTGTGTGGGGTTTCTTTTTAGACTGATGAAAATATTCTAAAATTGTGGTGATGCATGCACAAGTATGTGAATATAGTAAAAGCCATGGAACTATACACTTTAAGTAGGTGAATTGTATGTTATATGAATTATAGCTTAATGCAGCTGTTATTAAAAAAGACCACACTGAAAAAGACCATGTAATATGATCATATTGATGAGTTTATATAAAATTGTATATATGTGGGGGATGTAAGTATAAGTACAATAAAAGATTAAGAACAAAACCAAATCCTAGTATACTTAAAAGCCACTAATTCCTCATCTATAAAGTAAATATTGTAATTCTATCTATTTCATAAAGTTGTTTCAATAATTAAATGGATAATTCCTGTTAAAGCACTTACCACAATGCCTAGCACATATTAATCACTCAATAAATGCTAACTCTTATGATGTGTGATGACAAAATGATACTCCATAAAAAGACACAAAGTATGTTTCATACTTACCTCCATTGTAAAGCCTATGACTTTGAAACATTGCTCTGTTAATTCATATTGAGATTTATAGAAACTATTATGTATCATGTCCTGTACTGTTCTGAGGTGGTCATTTTGTAGGTACCTGAAAAAAATATGAGAGAAAGGATAAAAATCTAAAATTAAGTGGAAAGTATTATTTACGGAGGTACAACTTGCAGGCTTACCTGGGAGGTTTATTTTCAGGCAATTTGTAATGGGCTAGTTTCTTCTTTTCAGTTAATCCAGCATAGATGTAGTAAAAAATATGAAAATTTTTTTCTCCACTGAAAAAAATAAAGACGTTTTCAGTAGGTAGTTAGTAAGAATATTTACTAACTGTTAAAATTACTTGGAGATACAATTATTAAAAACAACAAAAACTTTGAGTGGCAACGTAGGTTCTCCTGAACACTTGATTTTAACTTTCTATGGTTGTTATTGTCCTTATTGCCAAAAATCAGTGTCACTAAATTCAAGACACTGTGCTAAGCACTTCAATACGAATCATTTAACACATATTTGTGAGTGACTATTAGGCATTGTTCTTGATACTGGTGACAACAGCAGGAGCAAAACAGTAAAAAATCCCTAACTTCCTGGAGTTTACATGCCAGTTGGAGCAGACAGAAAAAGAAACAAATAAATAATATATAGTATGCCAGGAAGTTCTAAATGCTACATTATCTCATTTAGCCACTGTAAGCCCTTTAGGTAGGCATGGTTTACCCATTTTATGTACAAGGAAACTGAGGCTTAATGGAGCTACCAGTCGTGCCCAAGGTCATGGAGTTGTTGGCTGAATTGGATTCAAACTAGGTCTCCTTGACCCCAAAGTCCAAATCTTTAACCACAGTTTTACATTGCCTTTCTGGGGCTCAGTTTTCTTGCTTGTATGAGAAATGCTTTTTGTAACTCTCAAATTCCATGAACCCATGGTTCTCTGTAAAAATAAAATTTTCCAGATCCAACACTCTGAAATAATACAATTAAGGGAATATGAGTCACAACAAGGCAAGGCTCTGACTCTGGAATATCTTCCACAATATAATTTCATTTCTTTTGTTTTTGTAGGTTTTGTTTTTACTGAGACTTAATGTTTTTCTTCTTTTATTTTGATGAGTAGGTTTGTTAACTTTCTTTGTGGTTACCTTGAAATTTACCCTTTTTTTCCTAGGTTTGAACCAGTCTATTATTGCTTGGTATCACCTTGCCTTCCTCTCCATTAGAAGGTTTTGTACCTACACGTTTATTCCCTCTTTTATTGTTCTGATGTTATTGTCATTTACGATTAACCTCTCTGTTTCCCTACTGTAATTCTTTTGGTTTTGGATAGTCCATGAGAGTTCATTTCCTAGGTTGGTATCTGGCTGGTACAATTCTGCATCCTAGATTCAGCCTGTGGTCTGATATTGTTTGTTTTCACATTGAATGACTCTCTTTAATAATTCTTGTAAGATTGGTTTGGTTTTTACATAGTCCCTTATTTCTGTTCATCTGGAAATATTCTATTTTCACCATTATATTTGAACAAGAGTTTTGCAGGGTATGTTATTCTTGGTTGGCAATTTTTTTCTTTCAAGGTTTTATATATGTCATCCCATTGTCCTCTTGCCTGCATGGTTTCTTTCGAATAATCCGAGCTTAGCATTATTGTTTCTCCTCTGTATGTGACTTTTTGTTTTTCTCAAGAGACAGGATTCTTTGTTCGTCTAGTTTCAGAGAGTGTGATTATGATATGCCTTGGTGATTTTCTTTTGAGATCTATCCTATCTGAGGTTCGTTGAGCTTCTTGGATGGTCAGTTTTTCATCTTTGATTATATTGGGGAAGATTTCTCTCAACAATTCTTCAATGATCCTCTCTGTGTTTTCTGTTTTCTCCCCCTGTGCTGGAACTCTGCTTTTGATTTTATCCCACATAATTCTCAGGGTTTCTTCATTTTTCTTCATCTTTTTTCTGATTTTTCCTCAGAGTTGTAGCCAAGTGTTTATCTTCAATTTCGATGATCCGGTCTTCCATCATTTCAAACCTGCTCCTCAGCCCTTCTATGACACTGTTCATTTCTGAAATCTTGTTGTTTATCTTCTGGATTTTTCATTGTTGTTTTTGTATGATTTCTAGTTGTGAATTTATTTTAGCATTTTGTTCCTATATTATTTTCTTGAATTCTTTCATTTTTTTGTCTGTATTTTCCATGAATTTGTCTGTCTTTTCCATGAATTTGCCTATTTTTTCCTCATTTTTGTTTGCTTTTTGCTTCAACTCTTGGATAATTCTGAGTATTAGAGATTTGAATTCCCTATCAGGTAGTTGTAGTGCCTTTTCTTCCACTGGAAAGTCATCTGGTGTTTTATTTTGGACCCCTTCTGGAACCATCCGGTCCTGTTTTTGTATATGTTTTGATATTGTCTGCTGTCTTTGGGGCATTCAGTAGTTATTTTCCTCACTTATTGATTGTGGATTTGTTTGTTTCATCCTGCTTTTTTGTTTTATTTGGTTATGTCTGAGCAGGCAGGCTATGCATTCTTTGTTGTTTGCTTGTCTGTGATCATAATACTTTTCACCTCCTTGTCCAATGGGCAGGGTCAGTCACTCAGGTATGGTACAGCAGGGCTGGTCCAGTGGAATGAGAATTGCTGGGATTGGTTGTTTTTGGCACTTACAAGGGCCAACAGGGCCGACTGGGAATCAGCGCAGGGCACGTTCCGGCAGGCTGTGCCTGTGCTGCTTGGGAGTGTGATGTTCAGTGCACGGTGCAAGTAGGCAGGAAGGAAGGGGGAGATTGTGATGTGTGGAGCTAAGATGGGTATGGGAAAGAGGAGAGAGAGGAGAAAGGAACAGGAGACAAAAACATACACGCAAACAAATAAACAAAAAAAAAGTGCTAAGGGAGCTTGCTATTGGAGTGGAAAGATGAGAGACTGAGAAATGGATAAAAACAAAAAGGAAAAAAAGGGTAAAAAATGAATAAATAAAAATAAGAGGAAAAAAAAAGAAAGAAAGAAAAGCCCCCAGGAATCCCACCAGTGTGGCTGCTAGGACTGGGGAAGTTGCTCCCAGGCCATGAAGTACAGCCTGGCTAGAATGGGTAGAGGTGTCACACAGTGCCAGGTATTCAGGAGACAGGAAGAGAGAGTAAGGATAGAGAGATGAGAAACTGGAAATGAAGAAAGACAAAAAGGGAAAAAGAGAGAGAAGAAAACAAAATGAAGAAACAACAACAACAACAACAACCACAACAGAAAGAAACAAGAAAAAAGAAATGCCCCAAGGAATGTCACTGTGTGTCTGCAAAGAGTAAGTGAGTAGTTCCCAAGCTGTATGGTACTGCCTAGCTAGAAGGGGCTCCCAAGCTGAGAAAACAAACAAATCAAATCAGAACAAACAAACAAACAAACAAGCAAAAAAAGCCCCAGGAGTCCCTCCAGTGTGGTGACAGTTTCACAGTCAAGTGGTGTTTCACAGCCTTTCAGGAAGAAGCAAAGATAACACACAGAGCCAGGTATATGACAGAAAGGAGGGGGAGGTGCTGAGAGGTAAGGAAGAAATCTAAAGATGCGGAAAAAAGCAACACCAGCAGCCAACAAATGGCACTCAAGGCTGGCCAGTGCAGGTGGGTGGAATCCAAGGGACACCGGGGTGAAGCCAGTGCTTCCCAGCCAAGAGACAGTGGCCACAGGAAGCAGAGGAGGCAGAGTGGGAGTGAAGAAGGGTGGGGGGTGGGAAAGTGTATATCACTGGTTACTGGTTGTTCTGTCTCCTGTTGGAAGCTCTGTGAAGCTACTTTCTCGTAACCCCTGTTCACTGATCTCTGACAGCAGTCCAAGATGCTGGAACCTTGCTGCGGTAGCTGATAGGGGACCTCTGCCTGTATCTCTCCTTGCTCTCTGTTCTCAGTCAGTTTCTTATTCCATTAGGTGCTTGGCTGAGTTCTTTATCTCTTCATTTTATGCTTAGGGTTTCAGGATTGACATGTGACTCTGTTTGACTTAATTTTTCGGATCTTTGCTGTGGAGGGGTGGCATGGTGCTTCTATCTATAGCGCCATGTTGCCTGGAAGTCTTCCACAATATAATCACTGGAACTTTTTAGTACCCCTTCCTCTCTCCTTTTGTGCCTACTGCCCAATGTTCTTTTTGCTATGGTGGGTTCTTGGGATGGATCGATTTCTCATGGAGATCAGTCACATTCTCTTCTAAAACAGAGGAGGGTGATTTTACTGCTTTGCAGCTTCACTGTCTCTGCTGGCCTCTCTTCAGCCCTGCATAGCTTCCATTCTTGATGATCCTAGTAGCCATATGGGAGACCTGGGGTTTGCATCTGCACATGGTAGTCCCCTTATCATCCTCCCCACTGGGCCCTCCTCTCATTTCAGGTGGTCCTATATACCCACTTGAATACTCACTCTGTTATCACCAAGCTCACCAGGACTGGGGTTGGGGCAGGAAAATATTCCTCCTACAGAGGTCAAATTAATTATAACCTGAGGCCCTGTTCTCTTCATTTCTTTTTATTTTACTCATCTTTCAGTTAATATAAGACTCCTATCCCATCACAAAGATTTGGATGTTACCATCTTGCTGTTGTTGTTAGTGGATGTGGAGTCAGTCCCTGAATCATGGTGGCCCCATGCACAACAGAATGAAACACTGTCCAGTTGTGTGCCAACCTCATGATCGATGGATTGGACCATTGTAATTCATAGGGTTTTTTCATTGGCTGATTTTCAGCCTTTCTTCCTAGTCCGTCTTAGTCTGGAAGCTCCGGTGAAACCTGTTCAGCATCATAGAAACTCATAAGCCTCCACTGATGGAGGGGTGGTGGCTGCACATGAGGGTGCATTGGCCAGAATCGAACTAGGTCTTCTGCATGGAAGGCGAGGATTCTACCACTGAACCACCAATGCCCTGGATGTTACCACAGGGCCTGGTTCAGAAGGTACTAAATTTTTGCTGTACAACCTTTCCTCTTGCCACCTTTGCCAACTGGGCTTAGGGTTCTCTCCCTTATCAGCCTTCATAGGGGGACTTCAGCAGCTTGTCTCCCCTCTTGCCCCTCCTCTTTCTCTCACCCTTCACAATCTTTATTGCAAGATAAGGGAGCCAGTGAAGCATTTTCAGAAAAGGTATAATGCTATTAAGCAAAGATAGCTTTTGATAGCTAGGATAAAATTATTAAGCAAGGATAACTTTTTTTTTGTCTTTGAAAAAATAATTTCTTTTTTGTTGTTGAAAATATACACAGCAGAACACACCCCAATTCAATAATTTCTATATGCACATTGA